AATAATGAATTTGAGCAATGTGCCACTTTTTCAAAGACCGCGCAGGCTTTGCATAGCCTCGAATATACTAACCATCAGCATTGATATCTTTTTACTCGTTCCCAGATAGTTATGATGAATCTAGATTTGACTGAAAAAGTGTGATACACATAAAGATCATCGCATGAGTTAAATACTAACAACCTCCTAAACCATAACTCTCGCAAACTGTTGAGGTAATTTATCTTGCAAGGCTTCAAACAAGATGCAACATTCGGCTTTTCCAGATTTTTTTACGGAAGGTCAACATGTACAGAGCTAAGAAAAACGTGGGAAACCGTAAAATTCTCATCATCTACCTGTCACAAGCGTTAAGGGCGATCTAATATTAGCTTATGGTGATGTAATTAGTGCCGAACGAGCCAATCTAATAACAAAAGCAGCGCAGTACTGACTCTGTGTTGCAGATCCGTCTCGTAGCTTTGTCGTAACCTAGCGGAGATCTTCTGTTCAGCAGCTGACACCTGAAATACAGTATTAGACTTTCCGCAGAAACATTATAACCTACTGAAGTAGTCCCCAAATATAACCAAAGTTATCATGAACACTTACAACTTCAATGCTAGGGCCTTTGACGGTAATCGTACGCTCCATAGTAAGAACAGCGTCAGGAAAAGGTGGCATCAATCCTCCCATAGACGAGAGCTCGGCAGCTCTGGACGCTTGTTCACTAAAAATGATCACATCTTATTAAAAAATTGCAGCCATCTTCGTATTGAGTAGATGATTTGTATGAACACGCGCAACAGCACAAAATATTACATGACTTATTAACAAGTGTGCAATAGCGACCTTTTTTCTCCAAAATTTATGCCATAACCAAAAAAAATCCTGCTTTTTTCCGACTTACTTATCACCGTGCCCAAAAATCTCAGATTTTCATATTTTGTTAAAACGTATCTAAGTTGATGATTTGGCATAACGATAACGAAAATCTTATTCATTCCGTATGATAAGGCCTTTCTGTAATATTACGGCAGTGTACCGTAAAAGGTCAAAACTACAAGACCTACAACGGGATCTTATCATGCGGAGCTGATATAATTCATGATTAGTAGTAAATTGACTAATAACACTTTAAGGTGAATCTGCGACTTTGACTCTTACTGTATACCTGCGTAATGCTTCAGGAAAGCTAGCGCGCGAAATGAATATGATCTTGTGATCAGCATATCATATCCCTCTGAGCAAAAACCAGCGGAACTAAGACTTTGAAATTTTAAGGCACTGTAAGCGGCATAGACCCGTTTCTTTTTTTCGAAGTTAGTTTTGAATACCAAACAGTTTTGGCAACCCCCGCAAGAAAACCAATTAAGCTTCCACTAAACAATCATAAACAAGAGCAAAATAATAGTCATACTCTGAGATTACAACAAAGTGAAAATAAGACTGAAAATGTATTTCCAAAATATCAACTAACTTTGATACGAATATAGTAGTGCCTGTATCTTGCATAATCTTCTTGATAGTAGCACCTTGTTTGCCGATTAGGCGTCCCACGAGCTGGTTATGAGCCCGGATTTTTAGCTCAACCTCACTATTGCTAAATAAGAAGTAGATAGCTTGTCGTAAATTCTCCTCAATTTGTGAGCTTACTCTCTTGTTTCATCCTTTTCGTTTTCGCGCTGCACAACTTCTAGAATTTTGACGCAAGCCTTTGAACAATTTTCGAGATGACCAAGTATAGAAATTATCTAAATAAAGGCATATATACAACAATTGCAATCAGAACTACTCTTCATATACCTTCTCACTATGCCCTTGCTGATCCTTAACAGTACGTTGGACATCCACTACAACGCGAGCCTTTGATTCCTTAGTGATTTCCCTTACATTGTTCCCACCCGTTCCGATGATCGCTCCCACATGTTTTGAGTCGATAACAATACGAAGAGGTAGTTCCTGAAGCAAAGACAACGTCCTCTTCACCAAACAGACTAATTTATGGTAGATTTGAAAAGATGTCAAAAGCGGCAAACCTGTTGAGGAGACAGGCGCATATGCGGTGCATTCTGCATTGTTGCAGTTGTATCGGTTGGCGGTGGCCCACCACGCTGAGAAACTCCACGGCGTGGTTGGACGCCCTGTCCCATCACGGCTCCCTGCTGATGCTGACTATGGTTATGCGATCCGGATATACCCGACTGTTGAGTAGCACCTGAAAAGGGAGCAATGGTAGCTAAAGTCATGCAACTCTGACCCCTCCATCCCCCTCTTTTACTTCATATTTTAACTCATCCATTCATACTGCTTATGAAACCAAATGATTCACCAACACATAATCAAAGTTTCGCAGAGTGGGCAGCAAAAAAACTTTTATTATAAACAAAACTAGACGATTTCGTGAACAAGGCACAGAAACTCGAACTTTTGGTGTTCTTTACATTTTAGCCTACATTACCTCTACAGTCGTTTAGAAGATTCAACAATTTATGAAGAATGATATAAACTCTAATGATCAGTCTACCCAGCTCCTGTAACTGACAACTCACATATGGTTCTACAATCTAAAGCTCAACTGATTAAGGTTATAGGCAGTTGCATTTTTCTAGCAAAATGTGCAGTTGTTTTCTTTTTACTGTTTCTCTTCCCTGACACAGAAGTTTTGTTTATCACTCTTCATAGAAAGGATAAACCTTTAACGAACGCGCCAGATCTTTGCTATAAACCACACTATTTGAACGTCGAGAATTGCTAACATCAAAAAGGGCCACCTGAATTGTTCGCCTAATGCTGATCTTCTGCTTAAACTTATTCAGGGACTGTGATATCTTACTACCAAAATGCAGAAGCCTTTCCGGAGAAGTTATAGCATTGGCAAATATATGCTAGAACACGTACTGCGATTACCACAACAAACTATACATAGGATAATTTTTCATCACATTCTACGTTAACAGTTTGAGTGATACTTTAAAATGAACGCAACTCTGACTAACGTGTGATAAAACATTGTTCTTGGAATGCTAGCTTCTAGGAATATATCCACAAATAAACCTAACTTGGTTTGAATCTTACCCATACTATGACCGTAATCCATGTTAGCTGTAGCTGAAGCAGCTTGCAGTGGAAACTGGTAACTCGGAGGCTGCTGTGGCTGATGTCCGATGGGTTGTTGCTGATAATACATTTGTGAAGAAGTTGCTCCTGCCTGAGAATGGTATGCTTTGGCCGAATGACTAAGCAAATAAAAAATTGGATATTTCTTCGACACAAAAAGCAAAATTGTGAAGTGTAAGAAGAAATGCCGTAAAAAAAATTCGAAAACAGATTCTAAACAGTACAAAACAAATATATAGTGAAACTTGCCTGCGCCGAGTATTGTACGTACTGATGTGTAGCTTGAGCGGCGGTAGCCTGAGGCCGCGCCTGCTGATAGTAATCCATGAATGAAAAGAGTAAAAGGGGTGGTGAATGTAGACCAAAACCACTCGATGCCTAACACTCGCGTTCCACCTTTAACAAAGCTAATTTAAGGAAGAGAGAAAGTTTTAGTGATCGATTTTGAATTGCGATAATTGAAAATAGAAATGGCAGATAGTAAAATTCATAAAGCACTCCGAAACAGGGCTACAATTAAACTAAATCTTAACTAAAACTTTAGATAACTCGTTAGGAAATTTGGAATTAATATAAAAGGAATATTTCAACGAGACTGCCGCGGAAGTGGAATGTAAGATAAGATCAAAATAACATTCTACAAACCATAATTTCGAAGATCAGAAAAGTCGGAAAATTAAGCACTAGTTCATCTCGACCAGCGTCTAGACACATCCCACAATAGGCTGCAATCGAAAAAAAA